GGAAAGAGGGGCAGGGGAAAAGCAGAAAGCAGCTAGGAAGAAGTCATTTTTCAAAAGGGAAAGTTCATTGGCTCACTTTTAGGAAAGAGACAGGGACTCTGATGCCAGCTGCCCTTTAAAAGGGCTTCTCATGTTAGACCAAGTGGTTTACGATGCTCCGAGAAACCCTTTGCTGCAATTAGTTTCATGATATGCATAGGCTCATATATTACTGCCTACATTTCTCTTTTAAATCACTTCCGGCCTTTAAATAAAATTTTACTCCGTGTAACAGGCAGTCAGAAAAACTCCCTTCAAACACAAGGACACAGGAAATCACATCCAAATTCCATGATTTTATTCTGGAGACAGAGTTCAAGGACTTCCAGCCATAGAAGAGCCTGAGGACATTTGTGTTCCTAGAGGAAGCGTTGCACCTACCCACAAGCTCGGCCATCAGGTCCACAATGCACTCGTCCGCCAGAGCCCACGGCCGGCGCCCGTGGAAGTGGCCATGAACACCTCTAAAAATCGGAAAAGAAACAGGAGATGAAAACACAGGCACTCCCCTTGCATCAGTCCCCAGGATGGTGTTGATCCAGGGATCCAATGGCTGAAGAAGGGGAAGGGCAGAAGACTCCAATAATCCAAATACTTTATTTTTAGTGCACCTCTGAGGCTCACAAGTAAGGAGCTAATGACAACCAACCACAGGTTCCTCAGACAGGAATTGCTTAAAAGCTATGCAAGCCATCTTTTACTTCCCCATACCCCTCTGGAATGCTCCAACCAGCACCTTAAACCTGAAAGCTTTATTAACTCTGAAGTGACAGATACACACATGCACTCCTGGACCAACTGTCTTGAACTCATTTTTGCTTCAAGTAAGACAGAGGATTATTCTGTGGTAGCCACATCACACATATAAAGATGTTGCAAAGCTTATTAAGCACACAGGCAGTAGGACACAGATTTAAATGCAAATAAACACAAGTGATGAAGAAGAAAGGTGCTAACCCATTGCTCTGGGCCTCCACCTCACACTAGGTGATTTTCCTGTTTGCGGAGCACCACAGGGTACTTGGGCTGCGAGTGGCAGGAGGCTGTGCCAGAAAAGGGACCAAGGCAGCAGGAGGGGTCAGGGAGTAAAAAGCAAAACAAAAAGAACCTCACATAGAAGCTGTGATGTGAGAGAAAAAATAAAAATTAAAGAATAAACCTTTCAAGGAGGAACAAGCCCACAGCATTCATACAGGTTCACGAGGACTGCTGGCAGGTTGAGACATGAGATCAGGGTGTAGGAGGCAGCTACCAGCTTTGAAGAGTCCCCTGTGCTTAAGCCTATTGAAACACATTACTTTTCCCTATCTGCCTCAGACTTATCCTTCTCCAGCAGGATTTTATTCCATTGCCCTGCCTCCTGCAGAAGTTAGGTGGATGTTTTCTGGCCAACCCTTTCTCATTGGGTCTACCTTGAGCCTCCCAGGAGTGTTTAGAAATACACACAGTTTGCATTAACTATCTCATTCTTTCTATGCTTGGAAA